TGAATGTGGCCCACCCTATAAACAGGTATCTATGGCAGTGTGGTGTGGATAATGTTGTTCTCCTCCGTGACTTAAGTTCAAGAATCAGTTTGATACATGTTCGGAGAAACATTTATGAACATTTTAAAAGAAAACACAATTAAAAACTAAATTTAAATATAAAATAAAAAACGTAAGCTTCCAATCAATGGTAAACGGATATGAGAAACTGCGGATATAATTGTCTTATAATTATGGGAAACAATTACTTAATTCACTTAACATTTTAAATGCAGAAACCTTGAAACTAATTATACAGAATAATTCAGCATTTCTTTTACGTGTTATAAAACAGCTTCAATGTCTAAAGTAAACGAAGACAAAAACACAATGATAATTAAATTAAGACATTAGCATGAAACTGAAAACAATCTGACTTACTTGAAAAAAAGAGAATATCCTAATACGNAAAAAAAAAAAAAAAAAAAACACACCACTAAGTTTACAAACAACGCAACCACCAGTTCACATGATTTAACAAATCAGTTAAAATTACAGGCAGGGAAAAAATGTAACGTAAGTGGGAAATACTAGGTGACGTCATTCTAAAGCAACTAATCAGTACCTATTGGCTTAATTTTGATTGAGATCACTGACCATATATGATTTATTGGAATTACATACATTTGCAGGCTTGTGTGCTCAATTTAGGCTTATAAACCTTTGTCAAATAGATGAACATAAAGCACAATAAGAAGGACAACACGAAGATATATCCAGGGTAACAGCGGGATTCGAACCCGCTACCTCTACGCCTTTCACAGTGTTTGGCAGGTGATACCGATCGGCCAGAGAGGCCTCACCAGAAATGAAAGTTTACTGAAGACATAAAATACTTTTAGATGGGAAACATTCTAGATCGGCCGGTCAAGTGGTCTAGCGGTCAGCGTGCCTGACTGTAAAGCCAATAGTTGCGGGTTCGAATCTCGCTCAGGGCAAGTGTGTTTTTCTTTCTGTGTGTTGTTCTCTGTAGTGTGGATGTAGTCCACCCCTTAAATGGGTTGTTAGCTTTTACAGCGATTGTGTTCTTTTATTTCCACTGACATACACAGACTATTTACAAAACATTAATAACAAGAAAAAGAAGGAAAATCGTTTGGGCTGCCTAGCAACCAGCAGAGTTGCAGTTACTATTATATTTACAAGAGTTGGCAGACTATTTAAAACAACTATTTAAACTAATTCTCCATTGATATCGGAACACGGGTATCTATGGCAGTGTGGCATAGATACCCGCCTCCGTGACTGAGGTTCACAGGTGCCCACTGGGTAACGTTAAATGAGTAATACTTCCGGCATCTTCCTAGGCGAAGGACGTAAAAGTTCAGTGCCTGCCATTAAAAAAAGAAATTTGGAACCGTAAGTTAGACAAAGGTTTACATCATTTTACAGAAAGTAATTTTTAATCTGAACAAAATCTAGTGAATCTTTATTATCAAATTTTTAAAAAACCGTACATTTAAAAATTCATTTCTCATGACGAACAATACTATCAGGTTTCATTAAGAACTATCCGGATATTTTTGCCTGATTTTATCTGAGTTGTCAAGAGTTTAAAATTGAACTTCATACATCTTTAATAGTTCCAGCATCTTGAGTATTTCAAAATATCATTCGTATTGGTCAACATCAGATTTAGTTTTCTTTGCTTGGACTTATTGATTAAACTGATTTAGTAGGATCTTTGATTATTGTTTCTTGAAGGTGGATGAATTGTTGTTCTATAAAAGATTTAAAACTTTTGATTTCCTGTTGAAATTTGACTGGAAGTCCAGAGTTTTTTCTTTAATGAAAGTGATTTCTTACCGTTTAGAAGTAAGTGTAAATTCAATTATGAATGTAAATTTTTATAAATCAATTCATAAAATGAATGACTTTTTGTGCAGTCCTTGGCCAAATTATGAGACGCACTATAAGATTCTATGTAAAATCTTAATTACTCAGGTGATACTACACAGCTTTATTGTATTTACACCACTGAAACCGGTTTGTACTTGTTTACGTTCGTGTATCAATTGGTTAAATTAGGTGATATGTAATATAAATACGACAATTGGATAAATTAGACGATATATTATATAAATATAGAATATTTATTATATCAAGTATTATATTAGTATATTATAATAAATTAGACCAATTTATTAGACGCACTGTAGTGTTATAATAATGACATGTTTTGCACGAGTTTGTACACAATACTTTTATATTTATACATACATGTAATGGGTTTTAATTAAAGAGATTTTTTAGATACTTCCTATTTGTATTTATTTTTAACGTATTGCTTTTCAATGTTAACCAATTGATACACGCACGTAAACAAGTGCAAACTGGTTTCAGCCGCATAAAAGCAATATCAGCAGATAATTATAATTTTACATTGATTCTTATAGTGCGCATAATAATTTGGCCAGGTACTATACAGTGATATTTTATATGGAAGGTGATTCGTGACCGTTAAAAAGTTCTGTTCTAAGTGTAAATTTACAGAAAGTAATTAAGAATTGATTTATTGCACTAATGATAAAATCGATTCGCTGTTTTGATTACCCTTCTGCTGGCAGTTATTGATCAAGTATTTAAAAAGAGTGTTCTGTAGGGAAAAAATTTCTTAGCTATAAATTTCTTTTGATGAAGATTGATAATAAATTAATTATTGTTGAGTATACATGTACAATAGAATTAAAGTGTTGCTGATTTTATTTTCTTTAAAAAAATAAATAAATAATAACAGATATTTTATGTTTTTTTTTTGAGCAAAGAATAGTTTACAACTTTTTATTCAAGATAAGTTACTTACATCTTTAATTTTATATAAATCATAGAATTACATTTGTTTCGAATGCTTTTTTAATGGAAGAATATTTCGCTTTAAAAATAATCGCACCGTCTTATGGTTCATTATCTTTTGCCATCTTCAAAAATGTCTGTTCCTCTTATAGTTTCAATTTATTTTTCAAAGATAACTGAAAAAAGTTTGAAAAATAACGAACAACATTTCTTCTGCAATTAATATTTGGATACTATTTCAGGAAGAAAGTTATAATTATTGAAAAAAAGCAACATAATGCATGCTAATATAAGAAATATCCTAAATTACTTAATTAAAACTTTTTAAACGATATATATATATATATATAGCTTAAAAAGTTTTAACTGTAATGCAACTAGCCTTTCGACCGACAATGCTTTCAGTTTTTAAATAAAATAAGTATCTCTCCCTTAGTTGTTAAATTAGGGTTTGAAAATTCGCATTTTTAGCTGTGTTCAGTTTCATAAACACGCAATTCGAGCTGCGTCCAGAATAAGGTATTCACTGATCAAAAATATTTGTGTCAAGAAGAAAATAATTTTCTTTTTTTCTTTTTCATTAAATATAAAAACTAAAGTTAAAATGTTCTAAGTAATTCTTCTATAAACAAGTATCGCCGAAGAAAATAATTAAAAATGAAACTCTTCTTTCCCTAATCAGCCGATGGAACATAAATAATTGTTCTTTCTTTTCTCGGGAATTAAAGAGGGTGTCAAAGAACAATTATCCTTCGGGGCTATCACTTTCATTAACAATTTCTTTTTTCAAACTACTGTTTCAGTCTATGTAAACAGTAAAGAAATCTTAACTGTTGTTTCAAACTCATCACTTTAATTGTTAGACTGTTTACACATTTCTTGGAATAGCCATTTTTTTTATTATTTAAGAATAGAAAATGTATTCTTTTTAGAACATATTTTACGTGTTAAGAACATATTTTACGGAGGCATCTTGGTTCCGACGAGTAAAAGCAGTTAAGTGTTAAAGTGAGCAAAAAATGTGAAGAAATTATTTGAGAAAAGTCGAATTTTCTCAATAATGAATTAATAATTGATTGAATTATTTGAAAATATTTTTCTTTTCTCAAAAATTTTTCAAAATATTTTCCCCCCAGTAGAACACCGAAGTCAAGTATCACTGGTTGTAAGTAAGTGGGTGGGTGACCACTTTGATCAGCCTGCGTAGGGTCTGAGGGCGTGTGGTATTGGTCCTCGTTAGTCCCGCTAAGAGCTCCACTTCACGCGCAGGTCGTTGGACTACCAAAGCGGGGGGGGGGCATCCCCTCTGCAGAGGGTCAAATTTGCGATGGCATGTCTTCGGATCGTCCTCAGGGATGTTTCCCAGGCTGCCGCCAATAGCCCATTGTGCCACGCTAGAGCGACGTAAATAAAGTACAGTACCTACCTACCTGCAAAACAGAAAAAAAAAATTAAAATCATGTAAGTTGTTTTATAGTGCAAAAAAAAAACCTAATAGATTTAATTTTCTTTTATGAGGAAAAGTCAGGTGTAAGAGTCAGGATGAAGGAGTAAAAAAAAAAAATCAAAAAAAATCAGTGATTCCAAAGGTCTGATTTCTTAAGACAAGCGAATTCTCTGAGCGTCAGCGGGAAGTTGACGAAAAAAATACTGTTTTGTTAGCTCAGCGTGAGCAGTCGGTCCAATGCAGACATTATCTCGCATTGCACATGCGCTAATAACGTAAACAAATATTTATTTTGAATTTGTATTGATTTTGTTATTGTCGACCAGTGCTTTAGAGAACAAATAATGACTTTGTCCAAGAAAAAACACATTATAGCTTAGCTAAAGCTATGCTTAGTCTTAAAATCAAAATCTTGACTGATTTCAACGCTCTGTTGGATGTTGTCCTGTTGAAATTAAATTATAATTGTAAATAAGCAGATCGTTTTGAGAAAAAAGAAATATTTTAATAAAGTTTATAACAAGAGACAAACCATCGTCGAAACAAGAAAGAGACGCTTCGATTGATATTTTTGAAATTACAACAACAACTGATGCCAAAAGCAGATGAGCAGATAAGGCAATACATAAATTTAGATTGCTTGCAATAACCTTGATTCTATCAATATTTGACTAAAAATATGCTTTATTCCCTGTTCTGGTATTTTACATTACAGTACATTTTACAACAATGCAGTGCAATACTGTTTCTTACTAGGCCAAGACACCGCAGCACGCCCAAGAATGACCACATAACCACTAAATGGGTTTCTGTCAATGCAATCTGCTGTCCAGTCTGTATCGGAAAATACTTCTAGCTTCTTTTGAGTTTTTCTATACGTCAAACAGAGATGTTTTGCTTGTTTAAGATACCTGAATAGTTGTTGGACACTTCGCCTAAGGTTTTCAGAAGATCTTTCGTGGAACTGGCTCATATAAGTTGGACTACTATAAGCAATGTCAGGGCGAATACCACAGGCAAGATACAGTAAACTGCCTATCGCCTGCCTGAATGGAATTTTGTTCGATGTTTCTTTAGTTTCCTTCCAGTCAGCATCGGTTAACTTATAGTGTTTAACACTTGGGTCTGAGGGAGTTGATGCTCCTCTGAAAAAGGTTGCATCAAAGGTCTTCAATACTTCTTCAACATAGGATGTTTGGTCTAAGGTTAAGGATCCATCAGCATACCTTTTCAATTTCATCGATAAGATTTCACCTACTTTTCCAAGATCTCTTGCTCTAAGCTCTTGTTCAACCTTAAGTTTAAACATGTCTATGGCTTCTGGATTTCCAATAATAAGCATGTCATCAAGATATATGCCAAGGTAAAGTGTTTTATTTGGATGATAGTAAATGCATCGATCACTTTTAGAACGTGTTAATCCATAATCTTTCAAAAACGTTCGAAACACGCATTCCACTCTCTTCCAAATTGTTTCAATTCATATAGGCTTCTATTAAGTTGGCAGACAAGATGTCCTTTGCCTGGCACTATGGCTCCTTCAGGTTGTTTCATGTAAATGTCTTCTTTTAAAGAACCATTCAGGTAAGCAGCAGTTATGTCCATTTGATGAATATCCATTTCACATTCCACAGCTAATGCCAATAAGATCCTGATAGATTTTAAATTGATCACGGGAGAGAATGTTTTTTGAAAGTCAATTTCAGGAACTTTCATGTAACCTTTAGCTACCAGTCTAGCTCTAAATTTATCACAATCTCCTGCCTCAGCTTTTTCTTTTTCCGAAATATCCATCTAGAACTGATTAGCTTAACATTTGGTGGTTTGGTAACAAGTTCCCACGTTTGGACACAACGTAAGTTTTTAATTTCTTCATCTATGGCCCTTTGCCACAAATTTGCTTCTTATGATGTTAGAGCCTCTTCCAATGCTACAGGGTCCCTATGAAATTGCTTTGCATTTGTGGAACATGCTTCTTTTGCCTTGTAAAGTACATAATCTTGCAAGTGTGCAGGGGTTTTTAATAACTCTTGTGCTTCTTCTGGCAGAATCACTTCGAAAGACTATTTTATTGGAATCTTCTAGATCATGTTCTAGTTGGTTGGACTCCTCTGTCATTTTAACTTGTTGTTGGCTCCAGGCCCGATATCCAAAAACTTTCAAGTGATCGAAGGTCGTTTCTTTATCTGACCATAACTTTTCTGGCGTACTTCTTCCAATTGTAGTAGATGGGTGTCTATTTCGGAGATAAGATGCTGTGCACACAGCTTCAGCCCAGAATTCTGGCTTTGCTTCTGATTCTATGAGAAGGCATCTGGCTATGTTGATCAAAGTCTGGTTCATCCTTTTTGAAATTGCATTATGTTGAGGGGATTCCGGCACAGTTAGCTGCCTTTGAATTTCATGTTTGATAAGATAGTTGTTAAAGTTTTGTGACTTAAACTCACCTCCATTATCACTTCTTAAAATTTTTATCTTTTTGCTGTGAAAATTTTCCGCCATTCTCCTGTATTCATCAAACTTCATTATGACTTCATCTTTAGTTTTGATTGGATACACTGTAGAGTAACGAGAAAAATCATCGGTGAACACAGCAAAGTAATTTGATCCTCCCAGTGATGGCGGTGAAATCTTTCTAACTACATCAGAGTGGACAATTTCAAATGCTTCGTTAGCTCGTGTGTTAGAGATTTTTGGAAATTTCTTACTCTTCATCTTTCCTTGAATGCACACAGAGCATGGCTTGTTAATTTCAGGATTGAATTCTTGTTTACTTTTAGTGGTTATTAAGTTTTTCAAGATGTCTGGGGAAGGATGTCCTAGCCTGCGATGCCAGAGTCCATTCGACTGGATCGTTGAAATGTACGCTGCAGGACAATCTTCTTCTATAATATATAGTCTTCCCTGTCTTCTAGCTCTCAAAACAATTTCACCAGTTTCTGCCAGTATTTTTGCTTCACCATGGGCAAATTCAATCTTAAAACCTTTTTCTTCAATCCTGCCAATCGACAGCAAATTTCCGCCCAAGTCTGGTACATACAATACATTTGCAAGATTAATGTTGCTTTTGGTAGAATCTTCTTGAACTGAAATAGTGATGTTTCCTGTTCCGGTAACTTGAACTTTTTCAGAATTCGCCACTTCTACTACTGAGGTGTAATCAGTTAGCGATTCGAATTTCTTTCTGTCTGACGTCATGTGCTCTGTAGCACCACTGTCTAGAATCCAGATTGTTGAGTCTTCAGCTTTAAATTTATTTGTTAATAAGGCCCAGTTCGTTTTTAAATCTATAGCAGTCTTGGCACTGCTTTGATTTCTTTGTTGTGCTTCTTCAAAATTTTTGGAGATGTGACCCCATTCTACGCAACTAAAACACCTGACAGTTTTCTTAAAATTCAAATCTGTTTCGTTGCTTCTTTTTGCTGTCCATTTCTTTACAGAGTTTTTCTGCATTGGTCTTTTTTGAGTATAGTTTTTTGTGTGAAGTGCACGTTCTTCCTGCTCTTTAGCAATGGGCATATTTCTATATGTTCTTTTTTTCGACTAATAGTCTAGACTTCACAATGGTTGTTGTCAAATTATCTTCGTCCTTCTCTAAATTCAGGATTAAGCTTTCATATGATTTTGGCAGACCTATTACGGCATGACGAGGGCAACTTATCTGTCGGTGAAAGCGTAACCACCACTCTACAGTTTTCGGTGCATTTCAATCAATCTGGTCAAATATGATTCAATTGTTTCAACAGGCTTCAAGGTAATGTTAAAAAAATCCTTCATTAACTGCAAAACATGCAGCAATCCAAATTTAGTATGCATATCTTTCAATACAATACATGCGTCCGTCGCCTTGGCACAGTTGCCAATATCATCCAAAAACGTATCTTCTACAATCAAGAACATTAGGCTTAATGCTTCATCACTTTTCTTTCTTTCATTTTCGGACTCTGCAAGGCCATAGCCAGGTTCAACTGCCTCCCAGCATTTCTTTAGCATCATCAGTGCAGGGGCACTTATTGCCCATGCATGATAACTATCGCCGTTTAACTTCTTCAATTTATATTCTTCCATAGTGGCGATTTGTGCTAATGTGTTGCCTGTATTCTTAGATCCGTATTTCTAATGTTTATTTACACAAAGCGTCGTGCTGATTACGTGTTGAAATTAAATTATAATTGTAAATAAACAGATCATTTGGAGAAAAAAGAAATATTTTAATAAAGATTATAACAAGAGACAAACGATCGTCGAAACAAGAAAGAGACGTTTCTATTGATATTTTTAAAATTACAACAACAACTGTTGCCAAAAGCAGATGAACAAAAATCATGCAATGCATAAATTTAGATTGCTTGCAATAACCTTAATTTGTTGATTCTATCAATATTTGGCTAAAAATATGCTTTATTCCCTTTTCTGGCATTTTATATTACTTTCAGTCCGCCATTGCTTCTGTCGTTAACGTTACGTTGTAATCCAATTGCAGTTGATTCGGACGTCAGTCGTCGTTCAAGCTGAGCGTTCGATGACGTATGCTGTCTAACTCACAAATTGACCAATCAGGGGTTAGCCCTCGCTTCAAACGTTTTGTAACTCCGACCTGTCCTAAGAAATCAGGCCTTTAAAATACCAACCTCGAATTCAGGCCAACTTCAAAGTGTAATTTCTTTCTGCGTATTTCGTGCTAAATTTAAGGTCCACTCTTATAACAATTTCGCAGTTGGTGTCGGTCTCTGGAATTTGCACAAGTTTTGTAGTATGATTTTAAATAAATTTGGAATAGCCGACACCATAAACATGGTTTCAAACTCAAAGTTTCATAAATTTTTCTTTTCGGGTCGATTTAAGCATTTTTAAAGTAGAGGATTTATGTCAGTATGAGTTTGTTACCTATTTTTATAGTTTTATGCTGATGATTGATGCTTGTCGTCAGATTGGTTTTCAAATCCTGCCTATGTACGTGTTCCGAGACGTCACCAAATACTTTTCTATCGTCAGTATTCATATTTATATTAAAAGTACCGCCAAGACAGTAATTATACGTTAAATAATGAAAAGAATATAAAAATACTTTAAATTATTATCATGTGAATACATTAAGAATGACTGCTGGTGTAAATAAAAAGAAAAAAAAATTCTAACAGCAGCTGTCGCCGTAGCAACGCATGCAATGACGACGCATGCGCACTGTTTACTATTATTCTTAAACACAGTTGAAAAGTGTGATGACGTCCAAATAAAGTGCGCACGCCATACAACCCAAAACAAGACCCATTTTGCCAATCGGTTGAAAAAGAAATAATAGAAAAATTCTTATTTTTCCCCATTCTTATTTCATCATCAGTTCAGTATAATTTGCTCAAAAATTGTCTTGAATTGATAGCGATAAATCACGAGTCACATCTTACTGTATGTCAAACGATTGGAATAATAAACATGTGATGTAGATAGCCCTTCTTGCGTCCTGACAAAATGTTTGAAAAAGCAGAGTCAGGAAAAGATGGAAAGAAATCATTTAATCATCGCCTTTTTCATACCAGGACATAGCTTGTCGGTTAATTTTTTAGCAACCAATATAGCTGGTTCAACACTAAAACGACGCATCTGCAAGCATAATAAGTTTGCAGATGTGCCGTTTTAGTGTTGAACCGATATGTTTTTGTGATAATGTATCTATGCGTTTTGTCAGTTACACAACTGAGAAAGTTCAATTTTAAAAAAATAAATTATTTTTTTATTCAGAGTAAGCAAAAGTAATAAAAAGTAGATAATTTTCAAGCTTAGTTTTGTACATTCCTTCCTTTTTTTCTATTCCTACTATTATTTCATACTCTCCGTACCACTTGCTCAAAATTTCATTCGTTCATAAAATACTTTTTATTCATCCACTCATGTTCAAATACATATTTTTTTAAAACTTGGTAGTGAATGACACTTGATGTTAATACAGTTTTTTTCCAAATATTAATTCATTCATTCAATAGGGATGAGCGAAAAACGAAATGGAATGTTCTGATCGGTTAAGCGTTAGTCATTGTTTTCAATTTTGCTATAAGCGATTCAGTTTTTCACATAGTTTAAAAATAACATCAGTGATCATTTCTAACTTATAGTTCTATTGGAACAAAAAAAGTAGTTTATTGATTGAACGCAATGTTATTTCAATGTCATCGCTCATTTTAGAAGAGCTGCCGTTTCATTTGGTTTAAGAAATGTTACAAATTACTTAGTCGCACAAAAAAATTACATTAAATTCTAATTTGTTCAATTTATATATAATATAAAATATATGCGAATGATTGTATAGATAAAATATATGTGCCTCAATTATGGGCATCATAGATT